GTCGCGTCGCGTCGCGTCGCGTTGCCCACGTCGCAGCTTGTCTCTTTCCCTCCACATACTATCCGTATATATACTGTATCTACCTATGGCGACCGACCTCGAGGAGGCGGAACTCGCCCTTAAATCTGCTCGCAACAAACTACATGCCAAGAAGGCGAACGTCACTGGAACGAGTCAAAGGAAGACCCGCTCTTCTGCCTCTGCCGCAGCCTCGCGTGGAGTCGCTTCCGCTACTGTGGCAGCCAAAGCAGCAGCCAAGGCGAAAGCAGTGCGAGTCACTGTGAGGTATGTGACTCGAGATACACGTCTACTGATATGGAACTTACACCTTCGTAGGTGGGCCGACCAGGATAAGAAATTCTTGACCGACCGCGTTGTCGGCGAGCTCATGACCCACGCCTCGTATTGCCAGGCCTTCGGTCTCGACAAGTGCGGCGAGGTTGCCAACTCTGGCGGGCTCAAACCCCTCGACTTCGCGCGCAAGATTGCGGTCGTCGTGTTCAAAGACCAACCCGACTACAAGGATAAGCCTGCTAAGTCCCTTGCAACAGTTATCAATACTCGCATCAAGAAGTAAGGTCGCATATATATATTCAACTGTACCCAGCTAACATACAGCCCCAGTTTGAAGAAGCTGCACACCCAGCATCGGATGAAGCTCGGTGAAACTGGTTATGGTCTTGTGGCCGATGGTCACGCCGACCAGTTGCACAGTGACCTCGCGAACGTCTTCGGTGAGGCTGGTCAATTTTTTCCCTGTATATTTGGCTAATCGGGGTGTAGAGAGCATCAAGATCTCCTTCCCGTGGTTCAACGACATGTCCATTATGCTTCGTCGCTCTCCCTCGTTCAACAGCACTGCGATCTCGAACAGCAACTCGACTGTTGACCTCTCCCCCCTCAAGACGAAGAAGGTGATTATTTTTGTGTGTAGTGGGTTATTTGAATTAATTGCTAATTAATATTCCAGGTATCCTCCGCTGCTGCCCTGGACTCGGACGACTCAGACGACTCGGACGACTCGGATGCCGATTCCGACTCTCCCCGTGCGAACAAGGGTGGTCCATCGGACACCGAGTCTGTCAAAACCGCGGACCTCCCAGAAGATCAACAACTTCTCGCTCTGGATCCGATCAGCCCGCCTCGTCCCCGTCCGACCACTCCGCGAGCATGGTCTTCATCTCCACTTGGTGTTCGCTCGCCTCTTGCCTCCTCGCCTAATCGGCATGATGTCCCTACGCCTCGTCATGGCAATGGCCGCGAGCGCAATGTCGGGCCATATGAGGAGGAGGAGGACAAAGGCGAGGACGACGACGAGGACGACGAGAATAATTTCCCAGAGGTTCCAACCCCTCCTCCAAGTCCTCGTCGCAAGAAGCGTCGCTCGTCAGCAGCAGAGTCGGGTCCTCGTAAGCTTGCGAAGGGTCCTGCGCCACTCGCCGCACCCTCGTTTACCGCTCCGTCAACTTCGGTTCCCATGGGCAGCAAGAAGCGCGACTTCTTCGGCCAGCTCAACGAGCGTGCGACCGAGGATCGCAAGGCTCGTTTGGATATGTGGGAGATTGAGAAGGATGCTGATGTTAAGAAGAGTAAGGATAGAAGTCGGACGAAGATTGAGCTCCAGAAGTTGAAGATCGAGGAGCAGCGCCTTCGCCTCCAGGCCAAGGCCGCGGATGCCGAGAGAAGGGCTGCGGAGGCCGGGAGGCAGCGCGCGCATGAGCTTCATTTAATGAACCTTCGTCTACAGGCTTTTGCTGGTCACTCGTCGTCGTCAAATATTCCCCCGTTTCCCCCTCCGCCCCCAGGTACACATCATTTTGCGCTCGACCCCCATCTTCAGTTCTAAAATAATACACCCCTCTCTGATCTCCACTCGTTATATGCATTTCTCATAGTCTATCCTCTCATGCTAGCCTTAGTCACTCGTTTGAATATAATAAGACCATTCTAATAATTGTGCTATTGAGTGTACATGTCCTCGCCCAACCAGTCGAACAACTCTGTCTTCAGCTGCTCTCGCTTAAACTTGCCCTCCAAGAGTTCCAACTCCTCTTCGTCCTCGACAGAGAGAGCACGCTCTTCTTCTACAGCCTCCCAGTAGGTCCGCCACTCCTCTTCAAACTCTCGCTGCTTCTTCTGATACCGCACACCCGATCGATAAAAAACATCTTGCTCCATGTTCTCACCGCTTTCATGCTTCATCGCAAACATGTGCAGCAAGATGCAGGCGCGGATCCAGAGGGAAGCGTACTCGAGACCCTTTTCGCTGTTGACGTCCACGCGTAGGCCTTTGAGCGAGGCCCAACGGCCCTTCAAAAAACCTATACAATGCTCTGACCGCACACGTATGGCCGACAAGTGGTAGTTATATGTAGTGTTGCGCGGCTCCTCCTTCTCAGGCCTAAAATAATGAGAAAAAATCAAGTTGAATAAAGTATGCACCCGTACTTGATGTACGGCGACTGGCACCAGTCTGTCAACGGATATGCTGAGTCTGCCCAGACCCACTCATCTGGTGCTATCAATTGCCGGCGCCGTTTGTACACGTCCGTGTCACGCCACCCACTCGAATCATGTTGACTGCCTGGACGGCCAACGGAGAAGTCGATTATGCGGAGATCGGGTGTCGAAATAACCTAAGAAAATCTGAGACAATGCGGAGAAAAGCAATACATATGGGACGTACTTGGACGGCAGTGGAATAATTGTTCTTGCGGTCAAAGAAGTTGTTTCCAAAGAATGCGGGCCGTTGGAATAGTGGCACAAGAGTTCCGTCCACCATAAGCCAACCCTTCCTCCAAGCTGGGCACGACCTTGACTCGACCCATTCCATAGCCACCTCCTTTGCATCGGCACTTGCCCACTGTACTGTGGATGCACGGAAGCGATCCGAGCACACTGCAGCAAGTACACGGTCCGTGAACTTCAGGACAGAGCCATACGAGATGCCGAAGTGAAGTGCAACCTTGAGCGTGCTTGCAGCGTTGCCATAGTGGCCAAGCCGATACAGTGCGATGGCGACCTGATACTCGACTTTTGTCTGCTTGTTGTGCGAGTTGTTCTTGAACACCGAGTCGTTGCGGATGGCATCGACTAGCGCGTCAAAAGTTGCAGGGTCTATGCGAAGAAAGGAGCGAAAAATCTCCGGTCGATTGTACTTCCAGTCGTTCAGCAGAAGTCACAGCGTCTCGGAAGACTTGTTGATGTGCGATGTGCGGTCTTGCAGGTAGCGCTGCGAGTAGAGTTCGCCGTACTCGCGAAGCAGGAGTTCGGCACCCGACATCTCGGCGAGATAGAAATCGGGATCGAACTCCTCAGCTGTATCACCCATGTTGGGTCCAGACGAAAACGGGGATGACTCGGACGAGGATGACGATGATGATGACGATGAGGTCGGGGATCCCAATCCGTCTTCGTCGATATCCATGCCCGAGGATGACGAGGACGAGCTTGAAGATGACGAGGACGAGGTCGTAGATGCCATGGAGGTATCAGAGGATGAAGATGATGAGGACGACGACGATGAGGGTGCGCGATGCAGTCGCTCGAGCTCTTGCTGTCTCTCCCAGATCTTATTCTCCTGCTTGATCATCTCGTTCACCAGGTAAGCCCATCGTAGGGCATCCTCGTATTGAGCTCGGAGCCCAGCAGAAGGCATCGTGAAAGATGGTGGTTTGCTTATAAGGTACGTACTGCTAGATATCTACATATGATCGATCCTAGCTATCTGAATACATCTCTGATAGTGGGATGCACGCGACGCAACGCGACGCGACTACGGGCCGAGAGCGCGCGGCGGCTTTTGCCGATGCGAATTGATG